GGGAGGAGAGCCAGGACTTCCCTGAGTGGGGTACGGGGTGGGGCCAGGGGGAGAGAGCAGGTAGGAGCAGGGGCCATGGACTGAGGGCATTTGGCTGCAGGTCCCTGAATCACCAGGCCTGGGAGGATCCCAGGACAAGGCTTAAGGCCAGGAAAAGTGGGGTGGGGGCAAGTATGTCTTTTGAGACAGGTGCAGGAGGCAACCCAGGGGAGGCCAAGGGAGGGGGGAGTCCAGGTTGTTCGTGGCTCCGGGGATAGGGCAGAGGGGTCTGTGACCTGCATGTGGCGTGGTCCAGGGCCTCTACGGGCAGCCACACAATGTCCTTCACTCTCTGGATCAGTGTCACCTCACTAGAAACCAGGCCAGGGCAGCCAGGCGAGGGAGAGGGCAGCGCCAACACCACCTGCTACGTGACTGCCAGAAAGGGTCTGTCCCTTTCTGCACCTGTCTCCCACCTGTGAGGTGGCGCTGGGCCCAGAGTCCTGTGACTACGCTTCCTAGACAGACATGTGACAAAGGCTATGGGTGCCAAGGGATCACAGGAGGGGTGATCCTCCCGTCCCTGGGGGAGTGCAAGAGGGCTGGCTGTGGAATGGCGTCTGACCCGGGCCTGAGGTCTCTGTGCCTCTTTGGCACTGTCCCTGCTGACTCCCCCCGAGCCCGAGACCACTGGCTGCCCCAGTTCATGGCTTTGACAGCAGAGTGTGTGCTAGGTACTGGTCACGAGGACACGGAGGCAGGAAGGGCCAGTCCCGGGGCGGGCTTACCCAGATTGTCTGTCACCTGGTATGCGTCTCGCAGGTCCTTCATGCGGAAGCCGATGACATCCACAAAGTCCTCCACCAGCCGGAACAGCTCCTTGGCGTTGGGGCCCACCTGGGGAGCGGGTGTGCTCAGGACCCTGACCCCACCTCAGCGTCAGGAGAGGCACCCTCCTGACCACTTGGGCCCCAGCAGGGACACATCTGCTCCCTGCCCTGGCCCTCTGGCCTCCTGCCTTCGTCCTCCCCACCCTTCTATGCCCTGTGGGCCACTTCTTAGCCCCTCCAGCCCCCCACCTGACTTGGGGGGGCAGGGCTGGCAAATAGCCTATGCACCCATTTTTGTGGGTGGGAACAAAGAGGCCAGGGCTCTGCCATGCACGGGTCAGGATATGAGTGGTCTCTGGTCCCTAGGGGGCTTTCTGGTGGTGGCAGGGTGCTAACCACTTCCTCGGATCAGAAGGCCACCTCCTGTTGCCTCCCCCCACCCCCCAAGGGTGCCCTGGTGTCAGCCTGCTCGCTTGTAACCCTTACGGGCACCCCCAAGGGGAGCTCCCATCAGGGGAAACCAAGGCTCATCAAGCTAAGGACCAGGCCATGTGGAGGGCACATATGCCCCACCAGTTGCCCTCGCTGACCAGGAGCACCCTGACTGCGCTCCCTACCAGCTGGGCCTCCTCCCATTTGCCCCGGTTCTCCTCCACCAACAGGTTGCTGATGATCTGGACAAAGTTCTGGAAAGAAAAGGAGATGGGTCTGTGAGGAGGAAGTAAAGTACCTGAACCAGGGCTGAGGGTGTGAGCAAATCAGGGTGTGAGCAGGGTCAGGGTGTGAGCAGGGTTAGGGTCAGGGTATGGACAGGGTCAGGGTCGGGGTGTGAGCAGGGTCAGGGTCAGGGTCAGGGTGTGAACAGGGTCAGAGTCAGGGTGTAAGCAGGGTTAGGGTCATGGTCAGGATGGGACCAGGGTCAGAGCTCAGTGCATGACCGTTCCCCCAGGCGCCCTCCCCGGCCTCCCCCAGCCCACCTGCACATCCCCGGGTGTGGGGCTGTAGTAGGCCCTGCGGAAGATCTCCGTCATGTTCTTCAGCACATCGATGGTGGACAGTAGGTCCCCGCTGTAGCTGGCCCCATCCTGGGAGATCTCTACCAGAGTCTGGATGACCTCGGAGACCCCTTCCCCGGGCAGCCCGCGCTGGGCCTTGGCCAGATGCTCCCGGGTCTGCAGACAAGGAAGGAGACCTTGTGGCCAGGCCCTGCCTAGGGCACAGCAGAGACTCTACGCCCAAGGGTCCCCCCTGCAGCCGGAAGAGGCAGGGCTACTCATGTCCCAGGCCTATTGCTGGCAGGCCCCAGGGGGCACAGGCTGCAAGGTGGGCAAGGGGATGGGGGAGGGGGGGTCGGGACTCACCATCATCTGGATGTTTCGGTAGTCGATGGACACGCAGCGGATGTAGGTGGGCAGCTCCCAGTAGGCGATGCCTTCCTCGTCCAGCTCACAGCGCCGAAGGATGAGGCCTGGGTGCCGGGTGGCCAGTTCAGCTCACCCTTGCCAGGCCGGCAGGAGCCCTGCTCCCTCCGGTCTGAAGGCCCCTGGATGAAAGCTCAGGACATCCCAGGCCTCTCCACCCTCCCTCTCTCCTGCACACTGAGCCCTGACTCTCAGGGCCCCACTGGGTGCCCTGGCTGAGTTCAGCCTAGCCTCCCCGCAGAGTCTCCAGCCAGAGCCCGGGAGACCTGCCCTGCGCCAGGGCCCCACAGCAGTCTGGTCTCAGCATCCCTTGGGAATGCCGTGGCCCTGGCCTCACTCCTAGAAGTCGTCAGTGAGCTGGGTATTGTCAGAGCTACCGGTTCCCTTATATCCAACAGGAAGCAGGGGCCACGGAGGGAAACCGAGGCCAGGCCACTGGTGCTGGCCACTAAGTCAGCGGTTCAAACCCAGCAGCCACTCCACGGTCGAAAGAGGAGGCTTTCTACTCCCATAAAGACTGACAGCCTCAGGAACCCACAGGAGCAGTTCTGCCCTGTCAGGGTCGCTGTGAGTCGGTAAGGACTTGGTGGCTCAGGGACATGTCCTAGGACCTTCAGAAGGAAGCTAGTGATTGCACACAGGGAGGCATGGGCTAACTGGGGGGGAACCCACCCAGGACAAGGGACCAGCACCGTCCAAGGAGGCAACGAGGAGGGTGGGGCCACAGGGGCGTCAATGTCCTTGGTTTGCATCTCTGACTTTGGAGCAGTCTACCAAGAATGGAGGGGCCCTGGGTGCGCTGGGGGTGAAGCACCGGACTGCTCTCTGCAGGGTGGGTGGCTCAGACCTGCTCCGAGGGAGCAGGCTGAGGCTGTGGGCTCTGTGAAGGCTCACGGTCTAGGAGCCCCTGGGAGTTGGTTGCTAAGAGCTGAATTCCACTCCGTGGCAGTGGGCACCAACAATGGGTAGTCAGGAATTTATAAAGGAAACGGGTGAGTGGCTGGGACTACAGAGCCCCCCATGGTGGCCAAACTCCTGCTGTTCCCGGCCCTAAAGGCAACCACCACTCTCACGCCCGAAACCCAAGCAGCAACCCCCCCTGCCACCGAGTCCGTTTGACTCACGGATTCACAGGACAGGGTGGAACTTCCCTGTGGGTTTCCACGGCTGACTATTGGAGTAGAAAGCCCCATCTTTCTCCCAAGAGTAGTTGGTTTTCAACTGCTGACCTTGTGGTTAGCAGCCGAGCGTGTGAATGCTGCGCCCCAGGTCTCCCTTGCAAGGGCCCCACTTGACAGGGGAGGGAACGCAAGCACAGAGGGGCAAGCACTCTGGATTGCAGGGGGGGGAGGTAGGGGGATGGGATCTCCAGGGCTTCTCCACAGCCTCCCTGTGGAGGAGGGTCTGAGGACTCCCACCTGGCGGGAAGAGCCCTTTGGGCAGGCCCCCACCCACGCCTGCTTCATGGCAAAGGGGCTGAGGGGCAGGGTTACCGGGGGCCAGCGGCTCACATGCTGGCTAGACATACCGAGGGCGAGTGTGTGAGTCACCCCTGCCATGTCCTCCCCTCTGACAATGAGCCAGTGATGGTGGCCCTCAGTGGGGACCTGGGTGGCCACTGAGCTTCTGGGAGGTTAGCTAGGCTGGCTGACTCCCCACACCAGTGAGCGTGGCAGCCTTGGAGTTGACAGGCCTCCCAGGGTAGGTGCTCCACTGCCCTCTCTCTGTGCACGGTCCAGGACCCTCATGCCACACCTGGGCCATGGCTCACCTGTGGCGTTCCGAGGACATCGAACAGCAGCGACCTCCCCTGCAGGTGTCTCCTTCCACGTGACAGCACCAAAGCTGTCCTCGTCACAGATCTCATGGGGTTCTGCCAAGGGCCAGACACGATGCCGGGCTGGGGTGGGGGGCGGGGCAACGAGGGTACCAGGCGCAGGGGCCAGCTCACAAGGCCCAGGCAGGGGCTCAGAATCCTCCTGGGGTCTCCTGTCCCAGGGGCAGAAGCGACCCCTCCCACCACCCGAGTCCCGGTCTCAGCCAGGGTGGGGTTGAGGCTCACCGGGACAGCCCCGGGCACTGCAGTGCCGGGACTCCTCCTGCGGGCCCTGGCAGGCTGCTCCCCCGAAGAAGGGCCCTGAGCAGGAGCGCTCCCGACGCTGGGTGCCGCCCCCACAGGTGGTGCTGCAGCTGCCCCAGGATGCCCATGCCTGCCACTTCCCGTCCACTGTGGGCACAGGTGGAGACCGGGTCGCAAGTTCCAGGGACCACCGACCACAGGGTGCAGAAAACAGGGGTGAGAAAGGCTGGAATGTGGGCCACCAAGACTCCAGGGGACAGAGGGACATGGAGTGATGGGGACACAGGGTGAGAGACCATGGGCAGGGGGTGATGAGGACACACAGAGGACACAGATTCGGGGTGATGGGGTCACAGGGTGAGAGGGACAGACACAAGATCTTCGATGCAGGGAGGCTGGGATGGATGGGGCCAGCCCTGGAGCGTCCCCCCACGGTGGCCACAGGCGGGTGCTGACCTGGACACTGCTGCAGGAAGCAGTCTCTCGATTCCACCCAGTGGCCCTGGCACTCGGCCCCGCCATACGAAGGCCCGTTGCACTCCCGCGTGCGCTGCTGGCGGCCCTGGGAGCAGCTGGCTGAGCAGGCGCTCCAGCTGGACCACTCGTTCCAGTTGCCGTCCACTGCCCGGCCCGGGGGAGGAGGGGGAGCCCGCATGAACACCTCGCATGGCGGGCCACCTACCAGCTGGACCCCGGCCACCACCCGACACCCAGTCTGGAACACAGCTGAGCCCCAAGCTCCTAGGTGGCACATGGTGCCAACATCTCCAGGGTCCCACTCTGGTCTGCAGTGCAGCTCAGTAGCAGGTGCACCTGGGGTGGGTGGCGGGCGCTGCCCCTCTTTCCTCCCCCTCCCTCCCCCTACCCCCCACTCCCCACTCCTCTTATCGCCTACCAGGGCACAGGGCGATGTTACAGAACTTGGTTTGTTTCTCAGGGCCCTCGCAGGGGTTGCCTCCAAACTGGGGGGGCCTGCAGGTGCGCGTGCGGTCCCGGAACCCTCGGCCACAGGTGCTGGAGCAGAGGCTCCAGGGGGACCACTCATCCCAGGCGCCGTGCACTGCGGAGGGGCGACAGCTGCACCTGAGGCCCGACTGCAGGTGTGTCCTGACTGCCGGGCGCCGCCTCCTCCAGATAGACCCTACCCCATCCCTCCTACAGCCCCGCCCCCGGATCGGTCGACCCCACCCACTCAGGCCCCGCCCAACGGCCCTTCGCGTAGCCCTCACCCCTTAGGCTCCGCCCCAACCCGTCCGGCTCGGCCCCGCCCCATCCCGCTAGGCCCCGGCCAGGCCCTCCCACACCGAGTGACGCTGCCCACTCAGGACCCGCCCCCTGTCGCTGGGCCCCGCCCCTTCGCGGCGCACCTGGGCACACCGCGGAGTTGTTGCACTGCCGTTGCTCGCGCAGGGGCCCGCTGCACTGGGTGCTGTAGGAGGAGGACACGCAGAAGCGAGTGCGGGTCTGCCAGCCCTCGCCACACGTGCTGGAACACACGCTCCAGGGCGACCACTCCTCGGCCGCGGGGTCACCTGCAGACCAGACCACGCCAGCGTCACCGCTCCCCCGCCCCTGCACCCACCGGGGTCCCAGCATCCCCCTGACACCTGGCAAGTGGGTCTAATTACGGTTAATCGCTGAGGTTATTACTTTTCATTATCCACAATGATTCATTTAGAGTGTTTTCGCAAAGACCCGCCCCTGAAACCTCAGCCCGCCCGACTCGGGAGTGGTGGTGGGGGTGACCCCGTGCGCCCTGCTGGCTCACTTGTCTGCGGCGAAGGGGACCCGATCTGCTGCAGCTCGTCCCCCAGGCCCTCGCGCCTCCGGGCGTCGGTGGAGCGCAGCGACTGGCTCCGAGAGTTGATGCGCCCCGCGGCTGCAGGAGGGAGCGGCTCAGCCACCGCCGACCGGGCCCACCGCAGCGGAGGGGGTCGCCTAGGGCAGCCCAGCCTGTGTCTGTGCCCCCCGGCCCCTCCTGCAGTGCTGGCAGCTGCCTTCCCCTGCAGGCGCCCCCCAGCCCCGGCCCCCCGCCACCAGGCTCCTGGGGCGAGCCCCCCTGCCAGGAAAGTTCATCAAGGGGAGAAATAACGCAGGGCGACAGTCTCATTAAAACTTGATTTAACTTGATGGGAACGTCTGAAAAATGCATGAGGCCATTAGCGCTTATTAGAGAAATACATCTGGAGGCGGGGTGTGCCTGCGGTGGGAGAACCAGGCCAGGGCTCCCGAGGGAGAAAGCAGAGGGACCCCAACAAGCCCGGCCTCCGTTCATCCCCCCTCCAGCCCGCCCCAGTCGCCTGGAGCAGGTCTCGCCTGCCCTTGTGAAGCTCTGCCCCAAGCCCTACACCCCTCAACGAGCAGGCCCCTACCCCCGCCCCCCAAAACCATCCCAGTCGGTCCCAGCTCAGCCCCTGCAGCCTCTGGCCCCGCCCACCAGTTGGTTCCGCCCTCTCGTAGCACCACCCAAAAGACCCGGCCCCACCTCCTCCTTTACCGGACCCCGCCCCGCCCCTGTACTCACGGCCGCAGGCCTTGCGGTTGCACAGGCGCCCCTCCTCCAGCACGCCCTCGCAGTCGCCGCCCTGGACGCCCGGCGTGGGCAGGCAGGTGCGCGTCCGCGTCTGCAGGCCGCCCCCGCAGTCCCGCGTGCACTCGCCCCACAGTGACCACAGCTTCCAGCCGCCTAGGCGCGGAGCAGAGGGCAGGGTCAGCGGGGAAGACTGTGTGGGCGGTGAACTCAGAGGTCCGCCCGCCACGACCTGTGGCGTGGCCCCCAAGGATGCGGACAGCCGGGGGCCGCAGCCTGGGCTGACTGCGGGCAGCAACGGTGGGGCAGTGTGCGCAGCGGTGGGGGCGGGCGTGTTGGCCCTCACCCAGGGGCGTGCAGGAACAGGGGGCTCTGGCTGGGGAGGGTCTCAGGACCCTTCCAGGCACTTGGGGACACAGGTCCAAGCTGTGCCCACCCCCTTCCCCCAGCTCCAGAGGGGTGCCCTCCCACGTGTGCTGCATGGAGGAATGATTCCAGGGATGGGAGAAAGAGCCGGGCCCTCCCTCAAGGGCCTCAGCCTGGGCCTGGATCCCAGACCTCACACTCGGAGGGTCTGCGCCTCTTGGTGGTCCCAGGCATGGGGAGGGGAGGTGGGGAGCCTCGAGCTGGGTCCAAGGTGGAGGCCAGCCTGATAGGTAGGTGCTCGGTCCCTCCTCTTGCAGGGGCGCGCCAGCCACCCTCAGCTCAGGAGCGGGGGCACCTCATTCTTGCGCCTGCGAGGATGGAGGCTCAGGCAGGTCTGAAGGGCTTCCGAGCCTCCTGGAGGTGAGCCTGCTCTAGACCCTCCCCCTGGGGGACACTGAGATTTAGGGAGGCCCCAGTGTGTGGCGGGAGGACAGGGGATTCAGGCTCCCTGATGGCCCCACCCTCCACTGGCTGCGTGTGGGATGGGGGCCCTGGCTTCCTGCCCTCCCTCCTCTGCTTCCAAACCTGCCCCCACCCACAGCCGTCCAGGCCGGTCCCAGTGGCTTCCAAGGCTGTCACCTCGATGGAAGCAGGTGGTCTCATGGGTCTCCCTTCAGATGGCTGATGGGGTGAACCTTGAACCGTTTGGTTTGTTTAGCAGCCACACACCGTAACCCGTAACCCGAGTCACTAACACGCTGTGCAGGGCTGGGTCCCTTGGGGTGTGAAATGGAAGGGGTTCTCTAGGCCTTTCTTTGGGCACGTCTGAGCGTCCCACCCATCTGTATGCACAGGTGGCCAGGATGGGAGCCCCCAGAAAGGGCCGGCCCAGAGATCCACTGACCTCTTCTGTAGGTCCAGGGCCGCTCTAAAGGGAGGCCAGCCCCTCCCAACTTCCCTGAGAGTCTGGGGGCGCAGTGGTAAATGCTGGATCACTAGCCAAAAGGTCCATAGTTCCAACCCACAGCGAAGACTGACAGACAGCCTGGGAGCAGAGACTGGCAGTCTGGAAAGCAGGTGGGGTTGGTTGCTGTGAGTTGGAACGGACCCACCCTCTGCACTTTTGGGGGTTTCAGCTCCCTGCAGGTGTTCTAGAAAGCGGCCAGCAGGGGGTGCCAGGGGCAAACGAATGGGACTATTGAGGGACTCAGGCAGGGGGAGGCTGTCCACTCTTCCCTGTGGGGCAGGCAGGGTGGGAGTAGAGACCCTTCTCTCCCTCCCCAGGCAGCCCAGCCTCCACCTGGACCCAGGAAGGCGAGGACCTTGGCAAGGTCATGCAGGGAGCGACCAAGCCCCTGGGCTCTGGAGCAGGTGCTCAGGAGACCAGCCAGGTAGGAGGGCAGGTGCCCGCTCCTTGGTGGTGGCTACGCTGTGCCTGGTCATACTGCAAGCTCACGGCCAGGCCGGGTGGTGCCGCCACAAGCAGCTCAGGGTCAGAGGGGGGAGGGGTCTGCGGGGTGCTGGGCAGGAGGGGGTTGGTGGCGGCCTGGTGGCCAGCCCTGTCCTCACAGGAAGTTGCACGCTCCCATTGCTCGGATGAGAAGACCGAGGCCAGGCAGCAAAGGTGCCTGTGTTCGCCCAGCCAGGGGCTGTGCCAGCTGCTGGTACAGGGCCCTCAGACCCCCCCACCTGGAAGCACAGAGGTCACCATCACTGCTCACGTAGCTTCAGGCACCCTCTGGTCAGATGCGCCTTTTGTGCCTGCCTCTCCTGGCCCCAGGCCAGGTACCCTGTAGCTAGATGGCAGTGAGGGGGGAGGCATCCTGAGACACAGGATCTCCTGAGACCCACACCCAGGGAACCCCACTCTGTGCTGGGGGCCCCTGCACACTAGGCCTGAATTTACAGTGAAGGAAACTGAGGCTCAAAGGGGTGGACCAGACAGCCAGGGCCTGGGAGGTGGCCCAGAGAAGGCTCAGAGTCCCACCTCTCCTTTGGGTGGGGGGGCACCAACCGGGCCTGAGTGTGAGTGAAAACTTAAGGTGTAGATGCTGTGTCCCCCTGGGTCTTAAAGTGCAGGCACCAGAGAGGTGAGGGGTGCCGGAGGGCAGTGGACTGGACCCCAGGGTAGAGCTCCTGCCTCCCTGCCTTCTCTGCCCCTTGCCTGGAGGACTCCCCACTGGCCCGCAGGGAGCCCATTGGCCAGATGGAGAGGGGAGGCTGGGACAGGCGAAGGGCTGAGTGGGCCAGCAAGTGCAGGGACAGCACAGGGCCAGGGCAGGCCCGGTGGGATGGCGGCCAGCCCCGTTGCCCCAGCCCAGCCCCCCAGGAGGAAGCTAGGTGACGTGGAAAGCTGGCAGTGGGCGGGAGAGAGAGTGAGTCCAAGACGGGCTCATCGGAGGATGCCTTGTGGTTCCCATGGCAACCGCTGCGGTGGCAGCCTGTCAGGATAGACTCAGGTTAGGCTCAGCTGCCAAGACACCCACTATTTCAGGGCTGGTTACCTTGGTGACCCAGGTGGTTAGGATGTGGGGGGAGGGGCAAGGAGAGGAAGGGGCTGCCAGGGTGGCCAGGCCAAGGCACTGGCCAGTGGCTCAGAGGGCACTCCTCGCTCAGGTCTGGCCCTGACCCTGCTCACAGGCTGAGCCCTGATCCTGTCCCACCCTGAACCTTGATCCTGGTTACAGGCTGAGCCTTGATCCTGTTCACACCCTGAGCCCACACCCTGAGCCCTGATCCTGTCCCATCCTGATCCCTGAGCTTGGTCACATTCTGAGCCCTGACCCTGCTCACAGTCTGGTCCCCACTTTGGTCATCCTCCTCTCCCTGATGGTCACTCAGGAAGTGGCCGCTGTCTTTTTATGGCCGTTCCTGTTTGTGACGTGTTCCCAAACACAGCATTTACGACAGGGGTGGGGGCAGCTGCCAGGAGGGTGGGTGGTGCCTGGCAGGCTGGCTGGGTGGCACTGCTGGGTGTGGAGGTGCCTGGTCTGGGCGGGCTGCGAGGAGCAGCGGGGAGTGGGCAGGGCTGGGGGTGGGCTGCCCCTCCAGGCCTGGGAAGAAGCCGTCATTCTTCCTGGACTCAATGCCCCTCTGTCCGGTAGCTTCATTTCCATCTCATTAAGGGATGAATGGGGCCAATTAAAGGCGCCGGTCGCTGGGCCTCCCAGGAGACAGGGTTTGGTGAGGGGCTCCACGCAGCCTGGCTGCCTGGTCATCATGCGCACCCTGGCCTTCACCCACCCCACCTGCTGGGCCAGGGCCCTGGTGGGCTCAGGAAACCCACTGGGGGCACCCGGCCTCCAGCTGGGCCTTCCTGGCTTCAGGATCCCCTGTAGGGGCATGTGCATGTCCCTTGTTTCCCAGCAGAGGGCGCCTGAGCCCACAGGTCCCCTCACCTGAATGGCAGGGAAAGTGCCCGCCTATCCCAAGCCTGAGTCCTGGCACTCAGAGAGGCCCAGGACCCTCGCCCACCACCATTTTCTGGGGCTGTCTGCATCACCCAGAGCCCTGCACTGGGGTCTGGGACCCACCACAGGCCCAGTGTGGACAGGCCAGAGGCAGGCCCCAGGGACCCCTCCTAGTGCAGCCCAGCTCCCAGCTGGGCCTGTCCCCTGGGCCACAGCTCCATGCTGTCTGCCACTGCCACCAGCCTCCCGGCACCTCTGCTCAGTGCCCAGTGCTGGCCTCTGTGAGCACCATGCCCGTTCCATTTCACAGGAGGGAACCTGGTGTGGCTGGAGGGGCCAAGCTGTGTGTCCCCACTAGACAGACCCCAAGAGGCCCAAGCCCACCAGCCCAGGCCCTGCCTGCATGCCTGGTCACCCAGCCTGGACAAGTACTTTCGCTCCCTAGGCTATAAGACACATTGGGGGCTGACAGCCACTAGTCTCCCCTTCTCTGGAAGCCCACCTAGGGCGGTAACCCCCGCAGGGGCTGAGACTCGGCCCCTAGTCTGCCCTGCTCCCACCTTGCTGGAGCATGACAGGCAGTGGGTACAGTGGAGGGGAGTCTCAGGGTCCAGGCTGCATCTGGGTCTGTCCCTTGGGAGGTGTCAAGCTGGGACTTGCAGTCGGAATGAGCCAACTTCCTGGGTCTGGCTGGCTCACTTTTCCTGCCATGGGCCTGGGGCAGAGGGAGGGCTGGTTCTGCCCTGGCTGAGAGGACAAGTCATGCCCTAGCAGTGGAGGCCTGCCACTGCCCCCCATCCCACCAGCTCCAGACACCAGGTTCTGGGGTGGCCTGGTCCTCCCACTTGGAGCCTCCTTCACCCTGGACACTGCTCCCTTCATGTCCTGGGCCCCCAAGGGAGCTATAGACCCCACTGCCTGATGGGGTGCTCCTAGGGCATCACCTAGACCCTTGTGGGAAGCCTGGCACCCAGTATGAGGGATTCCCTGTGACAGGGGGGAGGGGCACCTGGTGGCCGGCTGGGCCCCCAGAGCCTCAGCCTCTCACACAGCCTGCCACCCCACCCTGCTGCAGGTGCACACACACGTGTACACATAGACACATCCATGTCCCACAGGAACACACTTTCACATGTACACACCCCACATGTGCACAGAGGAGTGTGTACACACAGAGGGACACACAGGCATATCCCTACATGCACATGGGTGTGCACATGCACCGCCTAGATACAAGGGCATGTATGCATGCACATATCCCATGTGCATACAGGAGTGTGAATGTACACCCCAGGCACACATCTACATACCCCTGATGTGTACACAGACAAACATGTTCACACAAGGACGTGCACTCACATACCCAGTGCACACAGAGGCATGCACATGTACCCACAGACACACACCCTATGTGCGTGCTTCTCACATGTGCACACAGGGGTGTGCATGTGCACACTCCAGCATACATGTACACACCATGTTCACATATGGGTGCCTACACACCCACACATGTACACAGGAGCATGCACACACATGTACAGGCACACCTCCAGTGCACAGTCATGCACACTCACACACACATGCAAGCAGGGCATGCCCATGCATCCACACAGACAAGCCCTCATGCACACAGTGGTGTGCACGTACACACACACACACACACACACGTGCGCACACACACGCACATGCCAGCTCCCGGCCCCAGGATGCTTTTTCATTATCTCACATGTCGCTTCTGCAATAAAATTCTTTAATTAAAACATGAATATTTAAAGCAGCCCTGAGAGAGTGGCCTGATCTCACCAGAGGCAGATGACTGCGAGACCTCAGATTGGAGATGGGGCACAGAGACCCAGAAAGGGGAGCCAGCTGGGCAGGTGGAGTAGTTGCTCCGGCCTGAGGAGGGTGTGGGGTGCCTGGCACGTGACATGGCCAGGTGGCATTTGGGCAGGCTGGGTAAGGGAGGGCCTGAAAATGGGCCCAGGCTGGCTGTGGCTGCCAGCCTGAGACGCCTGTCCTGGCTGACACTGACCAGGGCCTGGCAGGTGAGATTCAGGGGTCCCTGCCCATCCCCTCCCCCAGCTCAGCGGTGTGGGTTCATCTCCTGGGTCCTTGCACCACTCCACCCACCATCCACACATGCACACACGTGCACACAGCTCAGGCACACGCACTCAGAAACATGTTGGCACACAGGCACAAGTACAAACCTGCACACAGACACCCACTCACACGCACGCCCAAATCATCATTCCTGCACACACACATGCACGCAGGAGCACACATTAACACGGGCACATGTTCATGCATGTGTGAGCATGCACACACACACATCTGTGCATGCACACCCACCCCGTCACAAGTGCATACCGACACACGTGCACTCCCATGCCGTGCATACGCGTGTGCACATGCACACCCATGGGTGTACATACTCACATGTGTACGTGGGCATGCACACACACAGTGGCCCAAAGAGCCGGCCCTCCTGTCAGCTGCTGCCCTTGTGACTGACTGAGGCCACTGCTTCCACTCTCTGGCCTCCTTCCACGCATCAGCATTGAGTGCCTGTGGTGCGGACCCCTGGTGACACTGTGGGTTAAGCACTGGGGCTGCTAACCGAAACATCAGCAGTTCAAACCTACCAGCAGCTCCAGGGAGGAAGAGGGGTCGTCTGCTCTTCTAGAGACTGACAGCCCAGAAACCCTAGAGAGGGTCGCTGTGTGTCGGGATCAACTGGGGCAGGGGGTCCCACTGTGTACCCAGTACTAGTCAAGGCCCTGGGGGGACCGGAGTGGACAGGTCAGAGCCCTTCCTGTGGCACCTCCATCTGTGCGGGGTCGGCAGACAGATAAGGGTCCCAGGACATGCGCTGTGAGAGAAGGCAGGACAGAGAGCTGGGCGAGGGACACTGTCAGCCCACCCAGCATGGTCAGGGCCTGCCACCCAGATGGGACGCATGCAGGAGTGCCGGAGGGATCAGCCTGCAGGGACCCAGACAAGGGCACAGCGTGGCACGCCTGCGCGCCCGCGTGTGCAGGTGTCTGTGTGTGCATGCACATGGCTCACACAGCCTGGGGGACTGACACGTGGGGAGGAAATCAGTGTACACAGAAAGGCCACACTAAATGGCCCCTGTGGTCACCACAGGGCCTGCTTACTCTCATGTCTCCAGAGTATCCATCTGGGTCTGGGCTGGGAAGGAGGATGCCGGCAGGCAGAGAGCCCCCCTGTCATTGCAGCAGGCTCTTTCCAGGCCCCTCCCTACAAGACCTCCAGGATCCACACGCACATGGATAGAACCTGTGCACATGCACAGGCCACGATGCACGGCACACCATGCACATGTGCACACTTCTCCCAGTATGGGAGAACCGGCAAATACGTGTGTGCATAATGTCACGTGCGTGCGTGCGCACACACGGATATGGTTATGTGGGTATACTCACGTGCAGAACAGACCGCTCACCCATGTGTACACATACGGTACAGCATTCACATGTTTGCACGCATGTCCACACAAGCACCAGACATTAGTCGCTCACATGCGCACACACATGCACACACTCTGACACTGCACAATATTCACATGCGTGCATGCCTGTGCTCACTCAAAGACACAGTGCAACGTCCACACACGAGCACACCCCCCACAGTGCGGTCCTCCTGTCCTCGTGCATTATGTCACGCTCACACACCTGCGTGTACACGTGTGTGCAGGACCATGCTAATGCGTGTCATGCCCAGGCTCCCGTGCTCACACACCTCTGAGCAGGCTCAGGCACCCCTCCCTTCCTCCCCCGCAACACCGAGGAGCTGGGGCCCAGCACCGCCTGAGCCTGGGCCCCAAGTCCGCGCCAGCCCGCACCAGCCTGCCTCCTGCCACCCAGACAGCGGTCCGTGCCCTCTCCCCCAGAGCTCCAGGGCCGAGCCTGCAGATGAAGAAACTGAGGCAGGCTTGGGTGAACTCAGGGACTTACTGGAGGGCCTACCTCTCCCCCATACCAGTCTCACCCTACTGCTCTGCCAAGGTCATGGTGACCTACGTGTGGCATGAAGGTCAGTGCCCAGTCCCAGGACTCTGATATCTTGTCTCAGGTCTTGGTGGGTGAGGCTAGCTACCAGTTCCTCCCCAGGGGGGTCACCCTGCCACTCAGCCATTGGCGCTGCTGGCTGAGTCTCTGGCTGGGTCTCCTCTGCCTTTGAAGGCATCGTTCCCAGGAACTGTGATGCTAGCAGGGCTTCGGGCCTCACCACCTCCTCTCCCCTGCCCACCCCTTCCACACAGCCTCCTGTCTCTGAGGAGAACCCTGTGCTGGAGCCCAGGGCCCTCAGCAGCCCCTGAGCTACCTGCCCTACTTCCCTGGCACCCCCAAACCCTGGAGGGGTCTTCTGACCTTGGATCTGGACCCAGAGAGGGGCTACACCTTTGAGGCCGATGCAGTGCCCTGCCCACCCCCAACCTGGGCTCTGGGCTTAAAGCCCCTTCTACTACACACAGCCTCCCCAGGGCAGAAACCTGCCAAATTGACCCCCACTCTGAAGACCCTGTCTGCTACAGTGTCCCCAGTCTGCAGGGCTCACCCCGGCCTGCCCAGAATGCCAAGGACCTGGACCTGCTCAGGGCTTCCATCCTGGCCCTTGTGCCATGACCTCACACAAATGTCCACCTATGCACTGCGCCCTCCCTCCCTGCCGGGCACTGCAGGGTTCACACCTGTGCCCCAGTGCTGGCTGTCTGTACTCAGAGCGCCCGGCCAGTGCCTGGATATAGCTGTGCTGCTGGAGACCAGACCCCCACTTCCAGAGCCCCTCTAGGCGCTCACCCCCAGAGCCCCCAGCTTGGCCCCTTCACGACCCTGAGCCCTCCCCGCTCACTAGAATCAGGCCCGAGAGCCCCCAGGCCCCTCCCATCACTCACCTGGGGCACCGTCCCCCACCTGGCCCTGGGTCAGGCTCGTGAGGCAGTTTTCGGGGCTGCCGGCCATGCCGTCCTGAAGGCAGACGTCCCCGTGGGGATGCTGGGGGCCAGTTGCCGGGGGACCGGCGTCCCCGCCCAGGCAGGCACAGGGCGTCTGCATGATGCCACAGGGGTGTGAGCTGCGGCTGCCGGCCAGACAGGCATCCAGCCAGCGGCAGAGCATCTGACAGGCGGCCCTGCTGGGGCTGCGGTTGCCCACGACCAGGTACTCCACGGAGAAATCATCGCTGGGGCCCGGGACCCAGGGGGCCACGCCGTCCAGGGGCCACTGCTGCCAGCGCATCTGTAGGAACTGCTTGCTGGCCTGCAGGAAGGCCAGGGGCGCAGAGGGGTCACACAGACGCAGCACCTCGTCGAAGCTCTCTACGCCCAGGTAGGTGCGCGTGGACTCCAGGAAGGAGTCAAACTGGTAGGTGTGGACGCGGCCGGGGCCGGCGCAGGGCTGGGCCGCCTTGGCCACCTTCAGGTAGAGCGTGTAGCGCCGCGGGTCCGGGTTGCGCAGAGTCCAGGAGCAGCGAGAGGCGTTGGCGGGGAAGACAGCAGCCCCCGAGAAGTACCCGAAGAACTTGCCCTGCACCAGCGTGGCACACAGCTCAGGCCCGGGGCCCACGTCCAGCCCAGTGGCCGTCCGCGCCCGGCGCCCCGGTGGCAGTGGCACCTCCATCTGCGCGGGGTCGGCAGACAGATAAGGGTCCCAGGACATGCGC